ATGCAGGTTGCTGACTTTTTATCGGGTTGGCTCTATGGGAAGAGAAGAAAGGGAGAGCAATACCCAAGCATAACAGGGAAAAAATATTTAAAAGTCAGCAAAACTGAAATGCTTCCAATTCAGGATCCACTGTCTAGTCACCATAGAGTCTGGGGGAAGACACGATCAAGTGGTTAGAAGAAAGCAGGGACAGACATAGGTACACACCAGCTCACACGCAGGCACACACCGGGCACAACTTCTGTGCAGAGAAGGGAAAGAAGGTGCTCGGTGCTGACCAGGCTGCAGGTGGCCTGGAGAAGGCCGCCTGGGGGAGGCCGAGGAGCAGCACTAGAGAGCCACGTGAATAAATGCAGCTTTAGCAGTGACGCCAGCCACAGCGGGGAAGATAAACTGTTGGACTGAAGCAATCGGGGACGGGGCGGAGCCATCAGCACGACCCACAGTCAGGAGGTGGGGCGCGCGGCTGCCACAGACACACAATGGCTGAGGCCCCCAGCCAAGGCTGGCACCCGCAGGACACAGTGACGGGGACAGCGCCTAGGCACTTGGGAAGGAAGGCTGACAAATGCACGGGGGCATGGGGTCCGCTCTGTCCCTCAGCACAGGTGCGACACATCTGAAGACACCTCTCGCCTTGAAGTGAGCTACGACTACCAGGTATGCTACAAATGACCCCCCAGGGCACCCTGCGCCCCACTGCAGTGCTAACTCCTGCTGACACTTCCAGAGAAAATTACCTGCAGAGAAAATGATTAATAAAAAAGGAAATTACAGGCTTCCAGTAAGATTCAAGAAAACCCTCAGCCAATAGTTGTCGCAGAGATAATTGTTCTGAATCTATCAATAAAGCTAAGCTGCCCCTTCATTGACTGCAAACACCAATTTCTTTCACCCAGGGTTATAAGTTGGTGTTCACGGGCTCACTACTGCCATTACGGTGATAAACAGTTTAAACCACAACAGGATCTGACATGTAGATCAATTCTGGGTCCATAAAGAATCTACACAAGAGGTTCCAGGACAGGAATTTACAGCCACCAGTTTTTATTCTCTCTTGCTGCAAAAATTACTTCTGTCAAACACTTAGGAGAGTGAGAAAAAATGTAAAAAAATTAATTTTTCATGTACTACTGGAACAGCCTTTTTCAATGCAGAAGCTCAAGATGAATACGTTCTGCATTTAAAAAATTACGCCAACCAGCATGTGGTACTTAGTTGGAAGAGGGATCCAATCCTCCAAGCGGCTCGCCAGCCAGCAATTTGAAACCCTGAACAGAGCTGTCTGGGTTTTCTCTAAGGGCAGATGCGGGGCTCATGTTAGCAACGCCAAATTATATTAGACGTTTAATTTTAAACCTCAGGTACTTAAATGTAAAGGCTTACAACAGTAATAGTCATAAAGCAGTGGGGCATTCCATTTCACAGAATGGATTCTTCTCTGCTTCTCCTCTTAATTTAGCCAGCACCCCCTGTTTCCTAGTTTGGCCCACGACAAAGCCATCTATCTAATTAGGAGTTGCTCACAGCTGCCTGAGCGCAGAGGCCCCTGGGGAACTGGGTGTCAAAGGGGAAGATTGAAAAGTTCTCTGGAGCCAAAGTCTTAATTTCGGATGTGTGCGTGGGGGGCGGGGGTGGGGGCAGAGAAGAGATGAATCCTGAGGCTGTTGTTGTTATGGCGTTTTACCGTAATGCTGGTGACCGCGGCGGCATGCTCAGCGCACGGGTAGGTGTGCTCCAAGGCTGCTCAGCCCCACCTCCTTGGGCCAGCCCTGCCAGTGTCTAAGGACTCCGAAATCCAAACCAGAGATGGTGAGGGCCTGGTGGGGGGTAAAATACCTTCAAACAGGAGCGGGGGAGTGTGTCCAGCATTAACTGCAACTTCATAAAGAATGGCAGAAAGCCCTTATTTGTGTTTGTTTCCTTTGTGATTAACTTCCAAGTTCCCTGGGAATGCTTATGCCAAAGGTCTTGGAACTGACCTATAAACACCTCACTGAAGTGCCCCCAGTCAGATTCTGCACCCTGGTGCTCACGGAAGGCAGCTGGGCTTTGGCCACTGATAATCAACATGGTAAAGGCGGAAATGGTACCAGCCGGAGGGCGGCCAGGACAGTGCCCTCCTGGAAGATAGGGGTGTGTTCAGGGGTGTGAGGGTAGCCTGGACTTCTGCATGGCTAGCTACTGACACCAGGGGCTGTCAGATGCCACTGTGTGCAGGGACCACACTTTGAGACAAGGATCTAGACTTCAGCATGCAACACTGTCCCTGGCAGGGCCTGCAACCACACAGGTCACTGGGTCCTGTGGCCCGGGTTCTGGACTCCGTGGGTCTGGAATGGGGACGGATTGTTTGCACTTCCAAGTAGGTCCAAGGGGTAGCCGATGGAGAATGAAGACCAAGGCCTGCGATCAGGCTTGAGCAATCATCTTGGTCCTAGGCAGAAAGAGACCTGAACAAGCCATCTGACTTCGGGACCCGCCCCCCCAGAGAAACTGGAGCTAAGAACAGGATCTACTCCATGAGAATAAGGGAGATAATCCACATGGAGCCTGAAATGAATATCAGCTCTTATTATCGTTTCCTTCTCAAAAACACATCAGCTCTGACACACCATCATGGCAGAAAACACAGGTGTCGGGCCGGCCCCGGGAACCGCAGGAACCATACTCTGCACCACTCTGCCGTCTTCCTGGTCTTTGCTGTTTAAAGACCCGGATCCACAGCCACTCTGCTCTTCCCCTTCTCTCCTCATTTTGCAGCACACGACTCATACCTTTCACTTCCGAGTGGCTCCTGGGCTGTTCCATTTCCCTTTTCGTCCCCTGTGTCTTTGTCCAAAATGCCCCAGTGTTTATAACAACTTCCTGCCACTCTGTACAATATCCACCTGGCCCTGCTGTTCTCCCTGATGAACTCGTCAGCCCTCAACTCCCACACAGGGTCAGCCCTGGCTGGCCTCCACCTCCCTAGGCAGGCCTACACCCAGGAAACAGGCCTGGGTGTCCGATTTCCTGGGCACAGGCTCGAGTGCTGCATGGCCAGGGAGCACACAGGTCTCTGCCAGACACCCAGCGTGCTCACATACAAGTTACTTTGCAGTTTAAAGAACAGCCTTCAAATGCAGGTGACTGCAGCCGTGTGTGGTGTGACAGGCAGTGTGTAAACACGCGTGTACAGCTCGGTGTAACAAACCTCCATGGAAAGTGACTTCCAGCCAAACCAAGGACTAGAAATGATGACGTCTCAGGATCTGTCCTTGTGGAAATGCCCGCGTGTGTGGCTGTTGGCAGGAGGGAAGGCTATCTAGTGAGTCAGTTCTAATTTGTACTTTAGGCACTTCAGATACTGTGTCAAAATGTTCTAGGTGCAGAGAGGCAAAGGCGTGTGGGGGCCGCTGTCCTTCAGGAGCTCCCATACCACTCCCATGTGCACAGCGAACAGAACCTCGGAACTGCCGCTCTGCTCGGACTGGTGCCTCACTGACTCTCTGGCAAAGGAGCTGCTTTTCGGTCTGAGCTGCTGCATGACAAGGCGGGGCCTCGGTGACACCACACGAACATCGGACTCGGGGAGGCTCAGCTGGGCTCCGTGTGAGCACGCCACCACGGGGCCTCAGCGATGGGAATGCGCGAGGTATTTTGAAGTACTTGAAAATAAAACGCTTCAGTGTGTGAACTAGCTCCTGAAAAAGGTCACCAGGGTGAAAACAGTGGTCGGTATTAGCGTCCACATGCCACGCGCAGCAGCTCATGCCTAAGGACGGAGAGGGTGGTGGACAGTGAGGGACAGTGAGAGGACAGAGGAGGGGTATCTGCTGGAGGCTGAGGCACATGGGTCTGGTCAGGGAGGGGAGAGAAGGCAGGGGCTCATCTATAATGACCCTAACTCATTCCACTGGGGGTCTCTAGGTATCATCAGGGCTCAGGTGAAGGGCAGAGCATCCACGGGTCCCTGCAAGGGCTGGTGTCCGATGCTCACTATCTCCCAAAGCGTCTTTTTTGGAGTCGGGAGGGAGCCGTGGACTGGACACGGGTGCGTGCTATCTCTGTGCCCCCAGGAGAAAGCTTTCGCAGGTCTGTGCTGCTGCGGCAGCGCTGGAATCACCTTGACTGCCTCCTTGCATGGAGAGGCTTTCCTTTAAGGCCTCTGTGTGGCCATCTCCGCCAAGGGAGTGTGGAGTAACGAGAAGTAAGGATGATGTTTACCCAGAGCAGGGTCCTGCCGTAGCAGCTGGTGGGTCCTCAGGGAAGACCTGATGCTGCATCTTTTAATTAGAACAAATTATGCTAAAATTATTCTCAAAGCCTGTCTGATAGATTGTGTACAACAGTGGGAATTCCCTTAAATACCAGTGAACAGGCCACAGACAAAATGCCACAGGCGGAGCCTGCTGTGGCCAGCAAGGGTGCCCTCCATGTGATGATTCATGCTTCAACTGCATCAAAAGAGTTTCCTTTGCACATCTGTCCCCTAGGAAGCAGGCCACACTTGTCAAAAATTAAAACAATGCAGAAGAAGTGAGGAATTACAGAGGGACGCTCCAGAATCTAGAGGGGCACCAGGAACCCTAGAAAACTGACAACAGACTACATTCACCCTAACAATGTACGACGTGCGCTGAGGCGGACGCAGGCCATGCGGTGTCGGGCAGTGTGATCAGGGACATGACAGCTGATGTTGAGTCTCACCCAGCATCTCCCTGTCTCGTGACATTGGGCAAGCCACTTGTCCTGTCTGCAGCCCCAGTTTCCAAATCTGTCCAATGGGGATAAACATCTACTCCCTGAGCAGAGGGGACAGAGGAGATGATGCAGATGAGAGACTATCAAGAACAAACGCTCCACAGGTGACAGGCGAGACCGGTACTGCTGTCAGAGGGACCCAAGGGTTTTGTGCTCCATGTGGAGCACATTCAACTCAGGCATCTTGCCCAGCCCCTGGTTCACATGGAGGACCAGGAGGTGGCCGCGGTCTGTGGGGCTGGGCCCCCTCTTACCACTGCTGATGGCCGAGTTTGCAATGACCGTAGCCTCACTCCACTGGTCGGCACTGGAGACTGAGTAGGAGCGCTGGTGCATGCCGTCGGGTCGGCTGTTGAAGGAGACCAGGCTGACGCCGCTTGCCATCTGAGACCCAGACGCACTAGTGACATTCCCTAGGAATAAACAAGTCAGGTGAACACCACGGCGGACTGCAGACCACAGAAGGCAGCACGAGGTCAGTCTACAGGGCCTCTTGCTGGCACCCAGTGTACCTGACCACCGAGAGCTACTGTCGTCCTGCATTGGCTAATGGAAGCACCATACGACAAAGGGCAGCGAGGAATAAGGGTGGTGCACATCTTGCTGCTGCTGGACGGAGCCACGCGAAGGACCCTGAAGCTCAGATGGCCGCACAGAAAGCAGCCCCCAAGACACAACCCTACCATAGCCATGAAAAAAGAGACCAGTCAGCCCCAGAAGAGTGGCCAGGGCAGGAGGGGGCTACAGACGCCTGCAGCCAACCTGTCCACAGACTAGCCACACGTGCTCAACCACCAGAGTCATGCGTCTGGTGCCAGAGGATGAAGCTACGGTGCAGCGCTACTTTATGATCAACACAAATCAAAGTGCCCAGACGCGACCATGGAGGAGACACAGACTCCGGGACCAGATAACTTTACTCTTAACCTTGAAATGACTAAGCAGAGGAAAAATAACCTCAGCGACTTCACAGTGCGTGTGGGCTGTGATGAAAAATGATTCCATTGTACACTTAATGATTTCAATCAGTTGCTCAACATCAAAATGAATTATTATCTGGTCACACCAATTGTAGACTCAAAAACATAATTAAGTGCTTTTCTCTAAAGCTCAGCCAATCATACCTGCAGCTCCTGAATCAGTCTGTTAGATCTAGAAGGGTTGGTTGGTCTTTTTTTTTTTTTTTTAAACTTTTCTTCAATTGTTTTAGTTCAGAGCCAATTAAGTTCTAAACTGTTTCAGTGGAGGGTTTTCACAGCTCAGGGTTTTAAATGTGCAGCCCATTAGCAGTTCCTAAATCTGGCCAATTACCAGAATTTCCCGTGGAGCTTTTTAAAAATAGAGGCTTCAAGATCAGGCTTCTCATTTTGATTCAGGAGGTCTGGGGATAAGCTTGGGGAATATGCATTTTCAAAAGCACTCTGGCGATTTAGGGGCCAGGGAGAGGAACCAGGGCTCTCCCCAAACAAGTGGCCTCATGTAAGCATGTGCAGCCTGGAAGGTTAATTCACCGAGGGGCAGGGTGGGGCCCTACCACGCACGTGCTGACGGAGACAAACGGTCTTGCTTTAGAAAATATATTCCTACCTTAAGATACCTATTTTATGCCGTTGCCTGAACTGGGACCATAAAAGAAATTAGTCACAGCTATTCTAACCTAGTCCAGAAAACCGCTGGAAGTGACGCAGGAAGCTGCGAACCTTGCAGCCAAGGGTCCAGCGCAGAGGCATGGCCTGGGAGTCCTCCAGGAACGCAGAGTCCCAGGCACCCGGGCCCTGGAAGTCCAGTAAGGTGTCCAGGTGACTCAGGGCACATTAAATCTGCATGGGCCGGCTGCAGCACTCAGGTTAATTAAAAAACAAACCCCCAAACTAACTAGTAAGACAAAACACCTGTAGCCACGGTGCCTCACTGCAGACCCCTGCTCCGGAAGGCACTCAAGCAGGAAGGGCACAGACTCCGGTCGGAAGCCTCAGGTCCTGCCTCCTCTGCCCAGGTGCAGGCTCTTGAGCTGGCTCCCCCCAGTTCTCGTGTTCTGAAAGCTCGATGCTATGGTTTGGACCTTCTGACACCCCAGACACACGCAGCTACCTCCGAGTCCTGCATCCTGAGTGACAGTGTCATGGGAGCACACCCCCAGCCCTGTCCTTGTACCACTCCTCCCAGCTGCCTGGGGAGGGGCCAGCCTTCCCAGGGAAACATCACAGCTGTCCCGGTGGCCGCCCTGGAGCTGTCCTCTGGGCATGGGGTGCCTTGGTTAGAACCCTGCTACAAAAGGGCGTTCAGAACTCAGGGGGTAGGTTGGCTGGGGCACCTCTGGCAGCCTGTGACCACAATCCTGTGCTCGTCCTGGGGGCATCCATAAGGGCGGCATCTGTCAGCTCCCACACCTTTAGCCTCTCCTGGGCTCCACTAATGGACGGCAGAGCGGGGCACTGAGCTGCCCCGTTGTGTTCTGGGCTCCCCTCCTGAGAGGCACCTTGGGCTGGCTGCGCAGCTCTGCTGGAGGAGTGCTTGGGTGCTCCACCTTCTCCTTGGCCCTGGGGGCCTACAGGTGGCCTGGGCCATCCATGCCAGCGCTGGTGCCTGCACTGTCCCCTGTGTTTCTCTTCCCCAGGGACCTCGATCCCACACATCACCCATCAGGGCTGGACTTGGGGAAGAGACGCTGCTGAAGAGCCGTGGGGCTCCCTGGCCCCACCCTGCCTCTATCACATGACTTCCCAGCAGGACACCCCCGACATTTCTACGGAAGGTGAAAGGGAAAGAGGGAAAAGTGGTGGAAGGACAGAGAGAAGCCACCCGGAGCAGGGCGCAACACCTCCTGGCTGTCACCCAGACTTCTGTGCCAGGCACCCCAGCCTGCTGTGCCCGCGGGACCCCTGCCTGTGGCTCGACTATCAGGGAGGTGACTGTCTTCTCTCTACAGTGCCCACTGGAACCCCGACAGGCCACCACGAGTGTGGAACCTCTATGTGATCCCAGCTTCAGGCACACAAGGCCCGACGCTGGAAGACCTGAAGGAAATTCACTCTGTCTGTCCGTCCATCTTGGGGTCAGTGCTCTCCCTGCTCACCCACTCTGAGGCCATTCCCAGGACAGCCAGGCTAACAGCCTTGCAAGACCACTTCCTTGAAGGCAGAGGAAGTCATTTTAGTGCGTCCATCTCTGGCTACTGAAGCAAACTCCAGAAAGAAGTATCCGCGTGCACACGAGGTCAGCAGGTGGGACTGCCCGCAAGGCAGGAAGAGCAGGCGACCGCGGAGCTGCCTGAGAAAGGGCTGGTGTGCACCTCGGGGCGCCATCCTCCCACTGCTGACTGACAGCCAGACTGGCTGTTGCTAAGGCATCTGTGGCTGGTCTGCTGGTCCTCAAACTTCTTGCTGTTTATGAAATGAAATTTAAGAATGAGTAACACAGTAAGATGCTGGAGTGGCTGGGAGGTGGCCTTCTACCTCCTGAGGGTAGAAGGAGGTAGAGGGGGTCTCCAGGGACCCAAACAGGGACCCAAGGGACCAAGAACCTCCTGGTACCCACATGAGGTTCTGAATCAGCTGGGCTGCTCCCTCACAGCAGGTGCGCTAGAACCATCAGCCTGCCAAGGGCCCCTTCCCCATCCACCCCCCAGTCCCAACTGTGGGTCTCAACAGAAGCACCACGACTGGATTTCAGCCTAATCCGTGTACATACGGACACACAGTTATAAATGTGTAATTCTTTTTAAAGTGTTATTTATTTTTGATACTGCGATTGAACCCAGGTGTGCTTTACCACTGAGCTACAGCCCAAGCCCTTGCTAAGTTCCTGGGGCTGGCTTCAAACTTGTGATCCTCCTGCCTTAGCCTTCCAAGTTGGCGGGGTTATAGACCTGCACCAATCACATGGTAAAAGTCCAAATTTTTAAAGCCAGATGTGTATACTTGTGTCTTGGAGTCTGGGTTGAGCATTCAACTTAGTTAGCAATAATTTCTTTCCCTCCTAAGTAGACTCAAGCTGGGAGGCTCCATCGAAACATGGGTACTTTCTGGCATCCCCTGGGAAATGAGCATGCCCAGCAGCTGTGTTTTGCTCAGAAACAATAAGCTGACCATCTCCACCTCTGCACCTGATGCAGGGTGGCACCACTGCCACCGGGCGCACTGCCTGGCTATCCATTCAACCTCCTGTCCACCTGGTTTCTGGTCTCTGGTTGAGCCACACAATATTCCAAAAAAGTATGCACAGAAAAATTCTCAGAAATGAAACATTTCTGGCTTTCTCTTAAGGGAGTAAATCTCTCTCTTTTAAAAAAATATTCATTTACTTTAATATCAGTTAAACTTTTCCTGAAAAGACCAACTAATTATGACATAAAGAAACAAGTGTTTTCTGTGATGATACAGAATATATTTGCTGAACCGAAAACAAACAAAAATGAATGGTAGCAAACAGCCTCTGCCCTCAAGAGTTGAGGAGTCCACAGACAGGGAGTCGCCTTTAAACGCAAACCCACCAGGAGAGATGCTTCCCGGGTGAGGCAGCCCAGGGCCCAGAGACTTCTTCCGGACACCCTGGGAGCAACCCACAGCTGCCATGCGTCTCCTCAGGTATTCGGTCACCCGCTGGGGCACTGCTCTACTTACAATCAACCATAGACCAAAGAACCCCTAAATGTTTAGCAAATACTTTTGATAACGTCAAATATTCTAAACTAATTCCAATAATCTGTAATACTCATTTTTACACACACATACGCTAACAAACTCAAACGTGGAACTTCATTTCTGTTCTTGATTGAAAGTCATTAATTAATTGGCCACATGATACCGTCTAGGCAATTTCTGCATGTCAGCACCTACCTGGATCTGCCTAGGTGAGACCACACGGGCAGGCCCGTAAGCGTAAAAGGAGGTGATACATTTAGGATGGTCTTCTCCTCTCTAGGTACTTGAGGGCTACGTGGCTCATGGCATGGTAATTTGTTTCAGGTTAAGGAGTTATTTATTAAGGCTGAAGGGCTTGAGTTTCTTGTTTGTGAAGCCAACCACTCGATCGTCTGAGAGGTAAGGACCCTGACCTTAAGACCACCCAAGACTCACGGGTGGCTCTACTGTCCCAGTCACTGTCAGGTCAGGCTGAAGAGTGCCCTGGGCTGTGGGGCCAGACATGCCCCGGCCCTCAGGAGTAGACAGACCATTGCTGGGCAGGAGGTCAGGGGCAGCCACATGAGGAGACCTAGACACAGGTGCTCTGCTCCAGAACTGCACTTGAGTGCCAGTGGCACGGACACGTAGCTGGAGCCTGAGCCAGAGGACCCGCGGCTCTGAGGCTGGACATGGCTTTCTTTGCAGGACTTTGTTCCCTCAGAGGGAGTCCAAGAGCCTGGTCAGAACCCATGTCCTGGAGGAGGATGTGGGACCAATGACTGGTTCTG